CTTTGCTATGCTCTGAACAAGACCATAGACTATACAATGCTTTCAACTTTGTGAAGCAATAAATGATCTTTTTTGGCTAATTTTTTGCTAAAAATGGATCTAATACAATGGGTAAAAGTAAAAATAGAAAAGCCACATCTCACCAAAATCAGATCGCTGTATAAGTGTGTTAACATGTAACAATATCATCCAATCTTGAGAATGATCTTTAGGTCTTGCAAAATTATACAATCAGATCATTAAAAGTGCCGTGACATAATTAATTGGTTGGCTAGTATTACTGTATCAACCTAATTTAGGCTAAAAATCTTCGCCTGCTTTCACAAATTTTATTCTGGCTGTGCTATAATACGTCACTGAGAAGCAAAAAAGCTAATTCTAATCGTTCTCTATAGGTACTAAAAACAATTTTTTAAAAAATCTGATTATTGCAGAAATGAACGATTTGTAAAGTCATATGTGATACATAAGGGAATAGCAAAAAAGTAGTTATATACATTCATTTGTATAAATTTAATCAGACCATTTATCGATATAAAATATCATAAAATTATAAAAGCAGCAATTCCTTGCTTTTCTTAATTTCATCACTTTTTCTGTTTAATATTTCAACTTGATATTATAAAATTTTTATTAAAAATAAAACAAGTATCTAAAATATCTAAAAAACTAAATCTAAAATATTTAAAACAAAATGTAACAAGAAAACAAATATCTAAAAAAGAAATACCTGTGGAAGTCCGAGAAAGAATTATCCAATTGAGGAAGTTGAATTTTTCAACATGAGAAATAGGGATAAAATTTGGTATTGGGTCTTCAACGGTATCTAAAACTTCTAAAAGAGAAGAGGAAACAGGAGAGGTCAAAGATCGAGAAAGATCTGGACGTTCGCGAATCCTATCACCTGATGATGTAAAAGATATACTTGATATATTATCTTCAAAAAAAGACTCAACAGCAGTTAAGATCCACTCAATGTATGTGGCTAAAATGTGCAAACGTATTTCAGTAGAAACTATACGAAATACACTAAAAAGGTGTGGATAGAAAGCTAGGGTTAAACCTAGAAAGCCTGGAATCACTATTTATTCCAATTTTTAATAATTACCCTCTGGAGCTTCCCATTCGCCGTAGCATCCGAACTATTTGCAATGCAAACATCTTCGCACGATGGTCCTCTCAACATCGCTCTTTACAATGGTCTAGCTTTTCCCAAGATATCCACTAGGATGCTACTTGGCTGTACCTTAACAATAACCAGAAAATCTCAAATTTCTCTCATAGTTTTCAATCATCTACACTCAAAACATTTAGGGTAAAATTACTACTCGATGATCTTCCATCTCCACATATTCTTCACAAAAGATATCTTTCTTACCCTAATGCCTGCCATCACTGCCAACAACCAACTTATGCACTCCACTGGACTACATGCCCTTCTTCAGAGCCACTCTTACTATTCGAAGACTTCTATACAGATACAACCAAAGCCTGTTAGATCTATCAACACATACATACCTTTATGTTTCAACTTCTTATTGACTAGTAAGTTCTATACGATGCCAGAGATATTCCAAATTTGGTAAGGCCAATTCTTTGTCACAAGTCCTTTTGTATTTCACTACTTTTCTCACTACTCCAATTCTAGTTATTATCTGGTTATCATCCCAATCAAGATCTCTAATACTGCTTTAGAAGTTGTTAATGCTACCTATGTTAACCAAGGATTTATACATACAACCTTCAAATAATAGAACCTTCTGTAACATTTGCTTGTTATATATAGTACTATCTCTCCACAATGGATCTCTTTCTAGAAATTTCTATTCCAAATAAGTACTTACTTGAACTTCTTATATATGAGTATATTCAAATATTCATAGATAAATGTACCTACTAGAACTTGAACCCGAAACCCACTTGTGAAGAGTTGAATATTTAAACCACTAGGCCGTGAGATTCCAACTTTAAAAATCATTTTTAAATATTTTTTAAAGTCTTAATTTAGATAGAATTTACTAATTGAGTTGCTTAATTTGAGCTTGTATTGATTGTTGAAGAATTTTAAATTGTATAGTATATTTAGTTTAAATATGAATTTTGTTTAGAGTTTTGTTTAAGTTTTTATAAAATAGATTGTCAAAGTTATTTTAGAAGCTATTTAAAGAGAAGTTTCAAGTGAAGTTTGTTATCTAAAGAAGTAGTAAAAGAAAATTTACTTTAAAATAAAGTTGTAAGCTTGACTCGAGAAAAAGAAATACTTTTATTTTTTTTTTTTTTAATATTAAAGGTGAGACCTTGCTCTTATCTTTATTAAATTTAACAAAAACTCCTTATATAGTC